TTCTCTCTCTGTTGTCTTTGATAGCAGCGTTCCCCTTACCAATTCCCTCATCATCACTCCCGTCTGATCTCCTCTCCGAGCAACTTTGAGCACATCTACCACATGACTGTTAATTCAGCTGAAAAATTCCTCTCTTACGATTCCATAAACCCTGCATTTTCCCCGCCTCCACGCGCTGTCCGCGGTACTCCAGACATTATGACTCTGAGGGTATGAACAGCTGAGTCAGGTGTTCACTCTACTAACACTGTGTGGTTTTCCTTTTGCCTGGCAATTAACATGGGAGAAAACCCCTTGTAAATGGTTCCTTTACCCCTTAACTCTCTTTTGTCCTAGACAATTTACTTTCTGCAATCAGCTGTGGTCTTGACACAGCTCTGACATGCCAAGAAACAGATAGTTCATGGCTTTAAAAAAAAAGAACAGTGTATAACAACTGGGCTGAACCTTTTGCTATGAGAATAACATTTTTAATCGCCAGGAAGGATGTGGGAATTTTGAATGCTAAGTTCTCTTCCGCGGTGTTCATCCTCCAGCAGTCAGTAGCAGGATGCTGCATACCAGGTTAAATTAGGAAAAGGTTCTGGATATGTCTTTGCTGGACCAAATTTTCAAATGGTTTGTTTATGATGAATTCATGTGGAAAGCAAGAATTTTTACACAGTACTTGTACACAGGTTGAGAGAGACAGACACAGGTCGTGCCTCAGACAGTTTCTGGGTTAAAGTAAATAAGTGAAATTAGAACATGTAGAAACAAGATAAAAATTAAAAGATGAGTGCAACTCACTGATGTAGGTCTTCTTAATCCTAGTAGTTTTAGGCAGAGGCTGAGGTGTATGTTCTGCAGATATCCTTCCAGTTGGAATGTAAATTGTGGGCATGAAGTGGTCTTTTGTCTTTTCTTGTATTGTGCATCCTGGTCTGACTACAGGGGTGTTACTATGTCCTGTAGAAGTACAAACCAAACTGAAACAGACACACAAGTACCTACTGTGCATTGTACTTGTGTACTGTGCTGTGGCCTGCAGCTCTGCTTGGGGCAGATTCACAGATAATCAGGAATGATCTGTGAGGGAGATGTATTGTGATGGTGGTTGGTTGGTCAGGGTTTGTGTGGGACTCAGCCATGTCCACTGCTCTAATGGGAACATGGCTCTTGGTTTCTGTGGCCTTTGGACACCCTTCAGACATGCATGGCAAACCTTCACTGCCAGACTGCTTTGAATGCCATTGGGTTGCTGTGCTAGATCCCTGTCACTGGCAAGGTTTTGGAAACATACCTGCATATACAACACTAGCCAGAATTTAAAGATGCAGGAGAAAGATAAATCTCTTCCACATGGCTCCAAAACCTATTTGCACATCTAAGCTTTGACTGGCTACGTGCATGGTCATGTTGTGAAGTCCCAATTGTCACAACCATTAATATTCAGAAATGAAGTTGCGGCATTTTGGAAAACGTGCCCTGTGATGACAGGTCTGCATCCATCCTGGCTTTTCTGGTAGGAGGAGAGGTGCAGATACACAAGGGGAATACTCTGTTGCAATGCAAAAAAAAAAAAAGAATAGTTAAGCCGAACTGAAAGCTGTTTCTCTCCTTAGAGGGTGATTATAGGGTCACTGAAGCTGTATTTCAGTTCTGGTTTTAACAGGATTTTTTTTTTTAATCTGACTGTGCTATAAAATGTTCTATGTTTAATATGCAGTGATGTATCACCGGACTGTGACCCTCCCTCTACCTTCCCTTTCTCATGTGAGTAGTCTCCCTGACATCAGTTAGGAATGACCCCTGGTGTGTCAGACAATAACTCTCAGTTTTTTTCTTTAGGAGCATCCTTCATCCTAGTGTTGCAGCCTACTAGCATAAATTGGAGCAAAAAGTGAAGTGGGCAACCTGGAGTGTTGAGAGCCCCTGTTAGCTCCTTAGAGCACTGGAGGTTTAGTCTTGTATGAAGAAACGTGTTCGTCTGCTTTGTGGCTTGAGGGTAGAGATGCTGTAAGCTGTATGCAAAGCAAGGCTGAGAGTTTGGTTTCATGTCCATCCATCCTCCCTTTGTGCTGTGTTTGGAGATTTTTGTTGCAAGAAGGGTACCATGGTCCCAAGTGTGGATAGGATATTGGAACCAGAACAGTGTGGAATCCATAGGGGAGTTGAAAGATGACCCATTAAAGTAGGCTTTTAGGTTCTGTCATATTATTTCATGGACGAATTAAAAGCTGAGGTTTGTAATGTAATGAACAGAGCAGTAGTTTAAAACAAAAAGAATCCCCATAACAACAACAAGCAGCAGAATGGACAGAGAAACATAAGCAAACAAGTTCCCATGGGTGTTGTAACTGTTCAGTCAGACCCTGTAGGTACATCCTCACCCCACTGCTGGAGAAGGCAGCTGGGGAGCAGCTGGTGTGGGAGCTGAGGCTCCAAAAAGCTGCAGAGCTGTGAGCATAGCAGTAATTGCACCTGCATAACCCACAGCTCTGCTCTCCAGCTGGGAATGCACTGACCTAATTGGGGCCTTTCACCCTATTTCACAGTGATACACTTTGATCAGCAGCATCTTCTCTGCTGCTGCTTTTTTTTTTTACCCTTCTCTCACTTTTCTCCATTTGGTTCAGCAATGGGGATGAATTTTCCTGCTAGGATTTGACTTGTTGATCTAAATGAGGGGTTTCTGTCTCTCTAAGTAAATCAAGCTCAGGTTTCCTTTTGTTTTTTGTGTTTTTAACTTGCTGCATTGTGCTGCTTTATAACTACCGCTAATAACCACCGTTTATTTTCCTTTGAGTCCCCTTTCTGCATCATGTGCATATCACTTCCAGGGGGTTTTGTCCAAAATGCCAGCATCTCTGGCATGTGCTTATTTTATTTTTAGAACAAAGAGCAATGAAAGATTTGCTTTGTGGAGAAATTTTCTACAAGGAATTACATGGACTTTGCGAACTGAGGTCATGAAAAATAATCATCATTAGAATATACTGTTAAAACAAATGAGTCTTCTTCACACAGTCACCCGTTCCCTTCTTCCCCTGATGCCTGCATGTTGTCTGCTCAGTCACTGTGAAGGAGGTTAATCACCTTATCACTAAACATAATTGTTCTCTTTGCCAAATGAACCACTGTACATTTATACAAGTACAAAAGATCAGCCTTGCAACCCTAGTGTACTAACCACAGTGCACACGTTTGCATGGTGCTGCACTTGGCTTTCCTTTCTTTCTCAAAACCCAGCAGCAACTTATTCCCTGAGCTCATCAGTTCCTCTGGGTATCATGAGGGGAGCAAGTCTCCATGGTTTAGGTACTGGCAGGTTGCTCATTCTCTGAATCCCACGCTGTTTATTGCATGGTGAAGGACACAGGAGCAGGAACCCACTATTTTTTACTACAAGGTAGGGTGGTTGTTCACGTTTAAAAGCAAAAAAAAAAGAAGGGGAAGGTGAGCGAGAGACAGCAATATGATTGCACAAATGATTTAAGAAACTTTTTTAAGTCTTGAGGGTACAAATCCTAGTTCAGTGCAGCAGAAGATGGGAGGAGAATTAAACAAGGCTTTTTCATCTATAAGCTCTCTGATTATCTTTTACTGGTGTTTGAGATATCTGGGTATAGGGGGAGAGATTTAATTCTTACTTGTTGCATGTTAAAAATCAGCCATTTCTGGTCCTCTGGGAGAATGAGAAGCCAAGGGTTGACTGTAAGATCAAAGGGGAGTGTTAGAGCAATGATTCTAAGAATCATTGTAAGACTGGGTTTGGGAGCAGGGTGGTAACAATTATCTGATGAAGTCTGAACTGTATATAATATGTTCCTTATAAAGCCTCTATTTAATTATCCATTTTAAAATACAGATAGAGACATGGGTAGTACCTGAGGGTCTCTGAGAATACCTGTGTGGGGGTGGAATCTTTATTCTGGTCTAAAATTTTCATAACACCCTGGTTTTAAAAGGCATTGCAATTGCAATTATTCTTTTTTGTGTGGCTACTTCATCTCAGAGTGAGGATGAGGAAATAAATAAAGATAAAGAGGAAGAAATGAACAGTTAGTGCAGAGGAGGGGTGTAAAGAGGAAATAAAGTTATGCTGAGAGCTACCTGCAGCTCCTTTCACATTCTGTGCTTGTGAAAGTTTCCTAAACCTAATTCTAGCTAATGGTAATGACTTAATAGTGCAGATCATTCTAGGGGCAGGATGAAGTCTCATATTCAGCCAGAGCTGAAATGATATGCTTGGGCATTTGAAAGTCCTGGGCTAAGAAGCTGGCTCATATACAGAGAGGTGACTAAATAATCTACCCTCAGTAAAGGACCACTTCAGTCCAGTAACTTACTAGTTTAGAAAATCACACTAGAACCCTCGGGATGCAAAACAGAAGTGATAATCAAAATACACAGACAAATGGTGGCATGTGCTCTAGTCATTCTCCTTGAGCAGGCTGAAAACAGGAGGCTGATTCTCACTTTGGCTCAGCTGGTATAGGTTTGGAGGAAGACTGTTAACACCTTTGGAATTACACAAGTAATTGATATACAGATTGATTCACTCTCTGTTCACAACTCTGCAGGCATTAGGGATTCACCGGGTTACTGTATAAAGTTACACAATCATGGCACAAATGATGGCACCAGAGAGAAGTTTTAATGAGATCCTTGGAAGCTTGTGTTCAGAAAGAACACATTAGGCAGTATAACTTGAATATATCTAGAGCACCTGAATTAGGCTTGCAAGCCTATAGCAAGGAAATTCTTGAATTATTAGGCATTCTTTCAGTTGTCTGCATATGTCCATGTAATTCAGCACTTCACTACTGTGTTGCGTGTGCTGCCAGTCTCTGCACTAAACTGCAGAATGTTTTTTTGCAAATTTTGCTGACTTGCTGCCCAAATATTCAGCTCTGGTAAGGTTGGGGTTTTAATGTATTTGGGGGCCTTACTTCACAGCATCCAAGGCTGAGCAACGGTCAGTCAGTAAAGATGTTGTGTGTGTGTCTGCATTTCAGAATCTTCGGCCCCAGGAGAGCCGGACGGTGTTCAGTGGCTCCGTCAGCATCCCGTCGATCACCAAATCCCGCACGGAGCCAGGGCGGTCGATGAGCGCCAGCAGCGGGTTAGCAGCACGTAAGCAAACAGGCCAGTGTTGCTTTGGGGTCTGTGCACAGTATTTTGGGAAAAGCTCCATGGTTATTAGCCTTGTTGCTGAATTGTGTTAGAGTTCTTGATGCTTCTCATGCTGCTAGTGCAAGGAGAAAGCAATAGAAAACTGGCTGCTGGAATGGAAGAGTTGCAGTGCATTGGAAACAGCTTTCCTAGTGCTGCCATGTGGCCTTTGTGTGCCAGAGTCAGCACAGTAATGTAGGCTGAGACCAGGTGTTGTGGCTTAACCCCAGCCAGCAACGAAGGACCACACAGCAGCTCACACTCCCCCACCAATGGGATGGGGGAGAGAGTCAGAAGGGTAAAAGCTAGAAAAACTCATGGGTTAAGATAAATACAGTTTAGCAGAGAAAGCAAAAGCTGCACACACAAGCAAAGCAAAACAAGGAATTAATTCATTGCTTCCCACAGACAGGAGGTGTTTAGCCATCTCCGGGAGAGCAGGGCCCATCACGCGTAACGGTTCCTTGGGAAGACAAATGCCATCACTCCCAATGGTCCCCCTTCTTCCTTCCACTTTATGATGTCCTATGGTGTGGAATATCCCTTTGGTCAGTTTGGGTCACCTGTCCCAGCTGTGTCTCCTCCCAATCTCCCCCCACCCCCAACTTCCTTGCCAGTGTGGCAGTATGGAAAGCAGCAAAGGCCTTGACTCTGTGTGAGCTCTGCTCAGCAGTGACAAAAACATCTCTGCATTATTAACTCTGTTCTCCACAAATCCTAAACGCAGACCCATACTAGCCACTGTGAAGGAAGCTAACTCCACTTCAGCCCAAACCAGCACACCAGGCAAGGGACTAAGTAATTGACCATGTGGAAATAGAGGCAAGGCTGGTGTCCCAACTTTTCTACACTTTTCCCTTCTTGTGGCGCATGGTGCATTTGCTGCACATTGCCAGCTGCCTGCAGAAAGCATGATGTGTGCCTGCTGGTGCCTGCTCCCTGGAAAAGAGGCCACTGGAACTAGGCTGCCACCACAGCAGTTTCTACAACTGCCACCTTGTCAGGAACACTGTGACTGTGTCTGTGCTGGGTAAAGTGTGCTAATGCCGACATGCCAAGCGAGGGACTGGAGAATCCATAGGAAAACCTGCAGCAGAAGAGAAGATAAAAGCCCACATAGCTTGCAAGCCATGAGCTGAGCAACGTAGGACTCGCTGGAGGAAAGCATAACTAAGCAGAGAAACAGCCAACAAGTTTCTGCTGTGCTAAGTGGGGGTCTGTAACAGTTGAATTCCTCTGCGTGTTTCAGGATCGTCCGCGCAGAACGGCAGCGCTCTGCGGCGGGAATTCTCAGGAGGGAGCTACGGAGCGAAGCGTCAGCCGATGGCATCGCCCTCAGACGGCTCCTTGTCCTCTGGTGGCCTGGACCAAGGCAGCGATGCACCAACAAGGGACTATGAGCGAGAGGTGAGTGACAGGAGAAGTTTGAAGTATGTTGATAAATGTGAAGAAGTTTAATCCTGTCATGGGTTTGGCTACAAGTTTGGGAGTTGTTGACAGTGAAGATATGGATTTCCTCTATTTCAAGCTATCCTGACAAAAGACTTTGCTCAAACCGTGTCAACTCTGGTCCTGGTGTTTTAACATGCAGAAAAAGCTCTCTGCACTCCATACCTGGAGATATGTGGGTAGCGTGGCTCCCCAAAATACTGGCCCTGTAGAGTAACAGCTTGATAGTGACCCATTACAGCTTGAAGTGGTGATATTTCTTCTGTCCTTTATGTGCAAAGACTCATAAGCTATCTTAGCAACCACTTCACAGGAGACATTTTGCACTCAGAGGTTAACAAGGTAATTTAAGAATTATATCATTTAATCTAGAGAAGGAACTGAGTATAATAATTTCTATTCTGTGCAGTTGAGACTTATCATTATTCTAGGACTAAAGTCCTGTCCAGTGCTAAACTCAGCCAAGAGTGTTTTACATAGGAGGATTCAATCTGAAGTTGGCCAGCAAAACTTCCCCAACCCATTTGCTTAGCAAGGAGTGTGAAAATTAGATATCACATGGTTTTCTCATTGTACCAAATATTGCCTGCCAGTTGAAGCTGGAAGGCAACTGTCAGCCCAAATTCAGGCTCAGTCATAGCTGCATTCTACTCTGCTCTAGAAGATCCAACTGGAGTAACTTGACAGAATACATGGAATTAGTATCCAAGGATTTACATAGAAGAGATAATTGTGATGAAGCCTGTACCACCAAGATTTCTCAGTTTAGTGCAAGAGCACCTCAGATCATAACCTGTGAAAAGAGCTGTTGTAGCTTCACAGACAACGTGACGTTGCACACTCTGCTAACCAAGAGGCCCTTGGCAACACGCAGACTGCCAGAATCCCGTTTGTGCTTATGTCAGCATCAGCTATGCCTGCTGAAAGCAGAGTGATCCAGCCACTTACTCTTAAGACTTCCCTTGACCAGGAAATTCTAAGCAAAAAAAATTCCTCAGTATTTCTGGATACAAGCAAAATCCACAGAGGCCTTTGAATCCAGTCACCTGTTGCTCAGGCACCCTCAGTCATTCTCATACTTGCTATCCTGTTACTTACTGGTGTTCTTGTGTTTGGGCTGCAGGACTCTGACTCTCCAAGACACTCTACAGCATCGAATAGCTCAAACCTCAGCAGCCCTCCCAGTCCGATTTCTCCTCACAAGACCAAGAGCCTCTCCCTGGAGAGCTCTGACCACGTGAGCTGGGACTCATGAACTGCTTCAGCATTCAGGTTTGACATCACATCAGCTTGCTGTCCCCTTCACTTGCTCCAGTTACCATCATCATCCTAACCCTCCCCATTCCCTGTCTGAAAGTGATCTGGGAGTAGGGTACAGAGGAAGGTAAAAGCTGGTTGCCTTCAGCACCATTCAGCACTGCCTCACCCTCCCTTCCCCACATCTGACAGCAGCAAATGAGCAAAGCTAGGGTGTTGGTAAATATCAGATGCTGTAGATTTGTATTAGTATTGGTTTCATTTTTGTGGTTACAGCTGCTTCATTTTTAAAGACATATTTATCCCACCCCCTTTCCACTTCCCAAAAAGTAGCATTAAGTAGACCAGACCAGTGTCAACAAGAGAAAATTCAGAGGGATTTTGTTTTCACACAATAGCTCATTGTACTGTACAAAAGTAGCACAGATGCTTCCCCTGCATGGGGAGCGATCAGTATGTCAGAGGCACATAAAAGCTTTCAGCCACCACGTTTGAATGTCAATCTGATTGTCGCCAGCAAACTCTTATTGATTAAAATGATGCATATTTTACTACAGTACAGAGTTTAAATAAATACGCAGATGTTAGAGTAAAATACGTATGTATATATTCAAAGAAAAAAAAGCATTGTGTATGCAGCAGAAGATGGATGCTTATTTAAGAGAGCCTTTAATTTAAGATTTGTGTTGTCCCTGTTTTCATGCTCAGTAATATACAGACTCGGAGGCCTGGCCTAAAACCTTTCACAGGACAGATATTCCATTGGTGCAGCACTTGCTGCACTGCCAGGAGAGGCCCCTGCAGTGCTTTCACAACATTTCTTTACTTCTGGCCATAGCATAACTGAAGCTCTAATTCCTACTTCGGTGTTACTCCCCATCCTTTACAAAAATGACAGTTGGGAAGCAATGCCCTGGCTCGCCAGCCCAGGGCACTGGTCAGCCTGGTGTCTGCCCCGGGTCTGTGTGTGCCAGCTGTGCAGCTGGAGCCTTATGGCATGCTGCAGGAGAGGCCCTTCAGGCAGCAAGGGAGCTCAGTGCAGCAGGAAAAGTGTTTCCCTGGGTCAGCCTTTGAGCAGATCTAACTGGGAAAGGAGCAGTCTTCCACAACTCTTTGACCATCCCTAACCAGAAAACTGATGCTGTCGTTACCAAATACAGGTTGCTAATATCCATCAGCCAAACGAGTGCCCTTAGCCCAAAGCTGGCCCGGGCTGGCTTTGCTGTCACTGTAGCAATGAAGAACCTTGAAGACTGACCCCACACTGTTCACACTGTTGTAGCAAAGATGCCTAGTGACCCCCAACCGCCGCAGTGGCAAGGTTGGTTTTCTTCTTCCTCCCTCCCCGTGCTGTGGGTTTGTGCAATTGGCAGTTGTTTCTATGTGCTCACCTGCTGTTTGGTTCCAAAAGCAGGGCAGGTTGGAGGGCAGAAAGTGTTGCAGCAGAAGACAGAGCCCACTGAAGGTGCAAAAATAAATAAAAAGCTGAAGCTGGTCACATAGTCAACGGAATAAAATTAAAAACTGATGTACACATGGATGGTAAGAGGAAGATGTCTCTTCTCTTTAGTTAGCAAGGCAGATGTGTTTTTCATTTGGGAGTGTGTTCAAATGAGCCTCTCTTCTCCGTAGTAATGTTGCTGACTTTATACTATGACCATACTCCAATACATAAGGGCTTTTTGTATTTAGAATACTGGTTTTCCTGGGTTTCAGAAACTTGTTATTGCTCTTATCACACCATTCCATATTCTTGCAGTCAGCAGTTATGTAGTTTCACCCACACAGAGATGTTTGGAGCTTTCCAGTTTCTTTCTTCCCTAATAGAAGCTATAGGTAAGTTCAAACCAAGTACAGTAATTTCCAGGTATGGTCTAAATGTGACATAGGGAACAAGGCATAGATCATCTAATCCATTTAATCATGCTGGGTCTCCTAGGTAAGATTTCTCTTTCATGGTGAAACAAGAGGCTTGTCCAAGTTTAAGCTCATTGAATGTTATTTTGGGACAGGATTTCAAGAAATTTTTGTAGAAACCATCATATTAAAAGCCTGTCTCTCTCCTGTTAGAGTTTTTCAGAGTAGCAAGCTGGTTGTGTTGTTTATTTTCACTTCAAAGCTACTGCTTTAGCAAGCCTGACATTTGATATTAAAAGCTTTAGCAAACAGCTAAGCACTTGAAAGTAATTCCTCCCAGAAAAGTTTGTCTTTCTGAGGGACAGATAGGCAGGGCGTTATTGGCATTATTAAAATTCCACATCAGCTTCTTTTTAAAGGCTGCATATTGCTTAAGGTATAGCCACTGCTTTTTCCCCACAATTCCCTCGTCTTGGTGAAGCATGTACACACACTTTTCAAAGCCTTTGCAGACTAGTTTTGTATTTACTGTATGTTGTATTTAAACAATAATCTTATTTTGATGTTGAGAGAAGGCATTTAAACAGCAGTCACTGAAGAGAGAGCAGCCTGCGTGACAGTCCCCTGAGAGAGGGTCACAGGATCTCTTTTTGTGGATTTTTTTTTCTTGCAGTTGTACTAAAGCTCTATCTGAAAATGGAACCCAAAGAGCCATGACACAGCAATCAATTAATTGGAGTTTAATTTAATTTAAAACCCCTGTGTTTACTCTGTTATGGTGCCTGCAATCTATTGCTACCACAACCTGATATTTTCAGGCAGAGTGCAGGTCCAGCTGTGTTACAGCACTGAGCTCCAGAGGATGAGAGCTCCACAGGGCTATGCTGTTTGTACACTACAATTTCTAAGCCTTGGCAGTCTCCTTTAGGATTACTGTATTTAATCATTAGTGTGATACTGTGCATTTTTATACACATCTGTTGAAAAGAGAAACAGCCACTGTTCTCAGTTGAAAAGCGAATGACCACATCACTTACTTGATAAGAGAAAAATTGTCCTAGGATTTAAATAAGTTTATATATTTGGGGACCATTTGATTACAGACTCAGTTTTAAATCACACTCATTTTTTTTTTTTTGTTGGTATGCATACTGCAGCTGAGCTTTTTAAATATTCATTGGGCTAGGAAAAGTAACTTGGTCATTTGAACTGTTAAGACTCTTGACTGGTATCTCCAAGACAGTTGTCTCCTAAGGTTTGATGTTTGCTCCTTTGCACTGTAGCACTGCTTCAGCCTCAAAGTTTGAAGGCTGCATTTTGTTCAGAGAATTTAAAGTCTCCCACTGAATTTCTGACTGTAGCACATGTTCTCTGGACATATATCTAACTGATTTTTTTCCTTTTGGCTGAGACTGAAGGTGTTTGTTTGCATTTTTGACAGTGCTTAAACAGATGGGTTGTTGGGTTTTTTTGCATAATTTTTTTCTCTTTTGATGGCAACAAAGGATCTGAACAGATTCAGGCAGCTACTAAGGATTCCAGATTACAGAATGAAAAAGATTTGGTAAATAGTTTTCCCCTGCACGTATACACACACAGATATGTAGCTTCCTTCCACATTTCATAAACCCAAAAGCAGGGTTATAGTACTTTCTTCTCTATTGCCTTTGGCCTGTAGAAGACAGCTGGTGGTTTCAAAAAAAACATTCCTGAAGCTGTGGTGAAGTAGTTGCTTCTTTTCCCTTCCATTCGTTGCTGTGGCTTGTTATGAATGTGCATTTTGCCCATTTAAAACAGTTTCAAAACTGAGTCAGGAAGGTTATCTCTTTGATTTGCTTCTGATAGAACTGAAACCAGAGGTGTTATTCTCAGGTACATGGCAGAGGGAAGTTAAGGGTCTCGTCATACCAAAAAAGTCCAAAAAGCATAGTTTATTTATAGAAATGTAGTTTAACTGCACCTAACTGGCTCACAGCGTGTGTCAGCCTTTCAAAACAGAACAGTTGGATTATTAACACAGAAACAGATTCTGGCACTGTGTTGTCTTGCATGGCCAGACCCTGAACAACAGGACAAATATGCTCTTGGGTGGAAGTCTTTTCCATTTTTTTCAAAGCTGTTTAGTTTTAAGGGTAAAATTTATTGCAGTGCAAGTACCCACAGCTCCTGAGCCTTAGTCCGAGAATCAAAGTGGCACATAGTAACTCCTGCTGTGGGTTCTTTTATTAATAAGAGTCAGTTCCATGGAGGAAATGGGACAACTTTCTGCACTTACACAAATTGCACCCTTCTGTGTGCTTTGTGTTCACACTTTATTTGATAACCACCCCCAGAAACTGCTCAGCTGCAGGCTTTCCAGTGGGAATTCCAACTCTTTCATTCCAGCCGCAGCTCAGCACAACCTCTTTTCATTCTGCATTTAAGGAAGTCTCATCCACAGGGAAGAAATCCACAAACAAACCAGTGTTGGTATTTCAGAGCAATTATACCTGCCTTTTTATGTATGACAGTTTCATATGATTTATTTTTAAAATATGTTTTTTAGGTTTTTCATTGTAATATTACTGTACAGTTTTGCATGGCATAGATGTAATCACTTTTTTGTTTTCTAGTATAAAAGCTGACAAGTGTGCGTGTGGGGGAAAGATTCTGCTTTTTGCCTCTTCTCACTCTTTTGTTTAATGCCCTCAATGTTGTAGGGGACATTGTAAGAGATTCTCTGCTACAGAACAATGATGTAGATTCTTTTGCACAGAAATATTTAAGGTGGAGAAGTCAACAATGTAAAAATGACTTACCACCAATATTTTATGTTGGTAACACACTTAATATTAACCTACTTTGATGTACTGCAATAAAACAGGGAACTGTTAGAAATGCAGACGTTCTGTCTTTTTTTCCTACACCCCCACATCAAGCTTTGAGGAGGAAATGGAAAGGGGAATAATGGTCTTCTTGAAGATAAAACCAGCATGTTGTAACACATCTGCACAAGTGCACAGTGGGAAGAAAAGGAATACGTGAGAAAAGCAATTTACCTTTAACACCTTTTAGAAAAAAATAACCAGATCCTTTTTGAAAATAGAAAGTCAAGTCACCTTATACTTTGCTATATTTGACTTCAGAGTTTTCTTTACCTTTCTCTTAGGTCATCTGTTCTGTGATGACAGATGACCTAAGAAATAGGTAGTTTTATATTTGTAGTCAGTGTTTCTGATGTTCCTCCTTCATTTGTAGTTGCACTGTTTTGGCTGTCCTGGTGCTAGAGGATGGATTATTATTATTTCTGACCTACCACCATCAAACTGACTTTCATGTCTTCAAGTACATCTCAGAATACCTGTGAAGTTTTGCATGTGTCCTGACCCTTTGACATCATCTACCAGTTCCTCACAAGTCAGCCTGGAATTTTCTCCATACTGGAGAATGACTGTTGGTACATCTTCCTCTTTATTCATTACCCTGTATATTACTGGAAATGAACTGATTGTGCCAGGGGAGGTTTGTATTAGATACTAGGAAAAGTTTATTCACAGAAGGGCTTGTTAAGCATTGGAACAGGCTGCCCAGAGAAGTGGTGGAGTCACCACCCCTGGAAATACTCAAAAGATGTGTGGATATGGCACTTGAGGACATGGTTTGTGGTAAAGATGGTGGTGCTGGGTTGATGGTTATCTCGATGATCTTAAGAGGTCTTTTCCAACCTCACTGATGTGAAGTGCTAAGTCCTAGCTTTGATTACATGCTTCAGTAATGCCCCTCTGCAGCA